TGTGGAGGCAAAAAAAATAGACCCTGGAGCCAGACTGCTGGATTTTGAATCTTGATTGTTACTCACTAGCTGTCTGGTATTGGATCACATAGTCAAGTATGTGACACACTATTGTGTGCTTCCATTTTCTGAATTAAAAAATGGGGATAGTGCTACTAGCCATCATATTAAGTTATTAAAGATAAAAAGGAGTGTATGTGTAAGACATAGGGTGAGGGTTCTAAAAGTACCAGTCATTAAAATTGACTGAGGTTTCCCTTAATGACCAAATTTACTTGTGTTGAAGATGTTGGAGATTGTAGGCTGTGAAAGTGACTTTTGCTTTTCACTCAGTCTAGAGGGCAGGACACAGGGGCTGTGCCTCACTGAATCAAAATGGAATAATTATGAACATTCAGATTTGAAGGCATTTTTAATTTCAGCTCACAAGAGCTAGGGGAGGTGAAATTGGGAAGAGGCACGAATCTACCTTCAGTGAAAGTAATCTACCTTCAGGCAAGCAAAAGAAAAGTCATTGTAGAATTGTTTTTTTAATTAAAAAGAAACCTCAAATCAAAATATTTGAAATATTTTGATTTAGTTGAAACGAAGAAAAATGTAGGCAGAAAACAAAATTTGGGGTACATCATCTTTCTCTGTGGTGGACAGGGGTTGGTAAATGGATGCCCAAAGATCAATTCTGGTGCACTGTTTTTTATATGCCTCAGGAGCTAAGAATGGTTTTGACATTTTTAAAAATCAAAAGAAGAATATTTCGTGGCATATGACAATTATATGAAATTCAGTGTTCATAAATAAAGTTTTATTGAAATTCAATTATGCTCCTTCCTTAATGGATTGTGTCTGGCTATTTTCATGCTTTACAGGCAGAGCTGAGTATTTGGACAGGTTTTATAGAGACCATTATGCCTTAAATATTTACTCTCTGGCCCTTTACAGAAAAAGTTTACTGACCCGTGGTGTCAATGAGTTAATCAACACATGAGTTTGATTAACTCATGTTTTTCAGTCACGCTGTTTCAGTTTCCCTGAGCACCAATTCATATTTTCCCTCTTTGTAATAATGTATAATCTAGACAAGAATGAAAGAAAAATTAGTGTTTTATTTCACTTTGTTCTTTACATGACCATTTTTCCAATTAGGTTGTTCTTTTTGAAAATTTAAAATTACAGTCTTATAGTTTATAAAATTGCGCAAGGAAATTCTTAGATTTCTGTCCCTTACCCTGAAAGAATTCCTGCATCTTTTAAAGCCATAGCCATAGAGAAGATGGGAGGGGAGGAGAGGGGGGATAGTAGGGGATAAGAAAGGCAGCAGAATACAACAGTTACTAATATGGCATTATGTAAAAATGTGAGTGTGTAACC